ATTCTGATTCATGATCTAATATTTTTTTTAATGCTATGCAGAAGTGTACTGCTCAAATGAGATCACAAACAATAAACGTTTACATCGTTATTGTTAACTTCTTTATAAGCTATTGTGAAATTCAGGGACATTTTGAAAGGCCGACTTATAAGCAGCTCAGGTTAAAATTCAGGACATCAAAGTTTACTAATATGAGCAATATTGATCAAATAGTTCTAAACAGATGACAAATATTCATGAGAAACACAAAATGAATGAATCAATGATCATGAGCATATAAAAATTAAAGAAATTTAATTAATTGATACAGAACTCAAATGGTATACAAGAATCTTCAATAAAAAGTGAAGAACACAGTGAAACATAGATCAGTGAACAATTAGTGGTATTTCAAAGAAATGAATTTCAGAAAGACAAAAGACAATCATTACCCCCCCCCCCCCCCCTTCCCCAACACACACATACACACAACTGGGTTATTAAGCAATGACAATTATCTCAACATATATAACAGAAAATACAATATCTGCCTTTCTTGAGCAGAATCCTCCATGTACCTGCATCTCATGGGGATCATATAATAATGTAATAGGAAAATTGCCAATGAGAAAGCTTTTTCATGCATTCCCTTACCAAAAATACTGCCTTCCTGCAAACATTTGCTGCAAGTCTGCAGCAAACATTGCTGCAAACCTGCTGCAGACATTGCTGCAAGCTTGCGGCAATGAAGCTAAAGAAACCATGACAGCGCTAGCCTATACAAAGCTTCTGTGTTTGCAGCAAGTTTGCGGCAGGTATGCAGCAAGCTTGCAGCAAACATTTTACCATGCAAATGAGGTTTGCTGCAAGTCTGCAGCAAACATTGGGTTTTCCAAATATGGAGACCTTGCTGCAAGCTTGCAGCAAACATTGCTGCAAGCTTGCGGCAAACATTGCTGCAAGCTTGTGGCAAACATTGCTGCTAACTTGCAGCAAGCAATATATTTATTGTTTTCAGCACATTCCTGCATACAATCAACAAGTTCGCAGAAAGCCTTTGTCCTGACCTTAATCTGTTAATTATAGAGAAAATCCAGCATATGTGTCTGAAATGATGCAAGTTTCTGAATTGTTGACAGTCTTTCTTTTTGTTCCTAGACAAGGTTCCCATACTGTTCTTAATTCAAATGTAATATACATGTATACAGATGTAATAGACATGTACAGAAAAAATTAAGAACCCTTGCACATAACTCTCTGTACACACAAATTAAAATTTTACAGTTAATACCAATTTATTTGAAAACGTATAAACATTTATAAAAATTGGTTTTGAACCTTTAACATACAAATGTGATATTAAGATAAAGATTGAAATTCATAAGTAGATTTAGATTTAGCATGTACACCAGTTTTTCAAGAGATAATTGTTTCATATTAAAATAAAACAAAATCAGATCTTACCAATTAGATGTTTGTATGCCAATGTACTCCTACATCCATAATTATGCTTTTGTAATCATTCAAAATGGTATATATTCCTAACAAAATACTGAAACATTTACAACTTCAATTCAAACATTTCAAAATGGCAAATTCTGTATTGACCTCAGTTCAGTCTGCATTTCATTGGCTGATTTGTCTTGTTTACTGTTCTTGCAAACTTCCTGCAAACATTCAATTTGTTGAATGTTTCCTGCAAACTTGCTGCGAACAACAGATTGGCGTTTATGTTTCTTGCAATGTTCCTGCAAACATGTTGAGTTCCTGCGAATTTGCTGCAAGCTTGCAGCAATTGCTGCAATGTTTGACGCAAGATCGCAGCTAGCGGCAATCATCTGCGAACAAGAAAATTTTCTTCCTGCGAACAATTTTGTTTGCTGCAGACTTGCTGCAGGTCTGCAGCAAACATAACAGTTTGGTAAGGGTTATGTTTTTATAACAAAAGGAATTACTTAATTGGCATAAGGTTTGATCTTTAATCAAGCCACACAAATCAATATACTTCATATTTAAACTTAAATAATTATACAATTTTATAGGACAACTACACTCTAAAAGACCTTTATCTATTTTGTCAAAATGAAAATAAAATATCATTTCTCAACAATGTGCAATAAATAAATAGTTTTGGTCAGGTATATGTACTTTATGAAATATTTAAAAAGTTCATGATTTTCTGGGACATTTATCGATAACCTCTGTATGATGCAATATGGAGCACTGTGTACCTAGTCAAGAGCTGTGAACAAAAAAAAAAACTTTGTTTCTATAGATCACTGTACATGGTCTACCTAGCTTCCATGTTCTTCCATTGCATGGTCTTAAACTGATGAGTTCTATTTGGTCATAAAGTATGACAACATTATTGATAGAAGACCTTATTAGAAGCTAAAAATATATGCAAGTTCTTTGCTTGAATTTATGTAGTCACTACACAAAATGTGAAAGATAATTTTTATCGTATTATTAAGTACTTCATATAAAAACATGCTCACAATAACCATGCAATGGCAAACAACTATTTACAAGGAAAGTCCAGATAGTTGTGTATGATATCTCCCTTAATATTTGTAGCTTTCAAATTAGCTGTGATAAAAGTGGTCCATTACTCAGATGAAATCAGAGAGACTTATATAATAAGCCTGTCAAGGAAAGGGCAATTGAGGTCATTTAAGTGCAATGTTTATCTAATGAAAATGTACCTAATTAAATCCTATTGATGTGTGCTTCTCCATGGAAGTGGACATAAACTCCATGGACAGAAAGATATCAAATTCAAAGAATTTCTGATTCATTTACTTTCATCACACTAAAATTCCTTACTGTTGTCTTTCATACAAATTGTTGGGTAATTATTAACATACTGAACTGAGTATATGGATTTCTCCACTTACCCACGATCATGACAAAGAGCATGTGCTGGGTGTGACCATTTGACAATTAAGGGATCTTACTCCTTCACCAAATTCTGATGTTTTTTTGAGATACCTGTTTGCTCTGTTCACAATTTGCATTGTTCCAATGGACTCTTGAGCTTGATAACTGTTCAATATATTTATATTTCTTTGCAATGCTGTAAGCAAAATTAATAAGGATATCTATTTCATAAGCACGAGCAACAAAATTGTTTTCTTTCACTGCTACTCAGATGGCAATCAAAGCAGCAAATAAATGTGCCATCAACAGTGAATCTATAATTACAAGAGTCAAACAACATATGAAGCAATATCATTATGCCAATCTAATCTAAAATAATGATTTAAAGTGGATTCAAACCAAAAAGCAATGAATCCCTTAAACTGAACTCAAATGACAGTTTCATGAAGCTTAATTCGTATAATATATTCTGCAAACAAATCAACCTTGGGCTTAAAAGAATTCAAAACTATACCAAGCGTTTAGTCCTACATGTTTCATGTATTATAGTACATATATAAATTTTGCTGCTATCAAACACAGTCTATTTAAAATGTGTTTCATCAGAATAAACTGACCCTCACCTTTTCATATTTAACAATGAACCCATCAAATACTTCTATGACTAAGTTTAAATTAACTATTTTTATAAATAACACAGTCACGTTTTGGTAATGCCAAATTTATTGAAACAATATTTTTAAAAGTACCACATCGCCTCATGTGGTCTTTGTTGAAGATTTATACCGAAAATCCTACTCATAATTTGTGTTTATCTATTTAACGACAATGCAATGTATTCCAAGGTATTTTGATTTATTATCTACCTGATCAACCGACTTTACGTTTTTATAAATGCTTAAGTTTAAATTCTCTGCAGGTCTTTGTCATCCAAGCTCTCTAATCTAAGAAGAGAAATTTAGCCAGGACAAAGGGAACAAAAAAAATCTTTCATCAAAGGTTTCTTGCTTCATTATTAATCACATGATCATAAGATGATTAAGGATATTTCAACAAATTATGATGTTTTTTTTTATTTTTTTTACAAGAAATACCAATGTTCTGCAGACATCAAAAGTGTTAAGGAAAACAATAACCCTAGGCCTAACATAATTAGACACTGTCTGATGCATCTGGGAAATTGTTTCCAAACACTGATGAAAGCTTCAATGTCCTCTGCCAGTCTAAAGCTGGATTCACAGAGCTCTCTGACTGTTTATGGCTGAACCAGTTCAGAAAAGGTGATGGTCAACAAATTTGTTAGGAAAAGTAAACAATTTTCAAGACTCATGCTTTAAAGAACATGCAATAATGCAAGACTTGAACAATTCATGCTATATTAAGCAAATGAAACTTCAAAGAATGACCTAGTTTACATACCATATTGTATTATTCTATACCTTTAAATTTCCAATTCTTTCTCAAAAATATCACAGAATATGCATGGTCAAAGTTTAGATCAACTTTTAAAGAACCCAGCTAATTTTTTTTCTGCGTAGGTATTTCTAATATTGTAAACATAAGTTATTGCGTAAATAATGTGTTTTTAACCTCAAAGCATCTCCCTTGCTGGAAAATTCCTTTCTACGCCTTTTATTTCCAATCAGACTGTGAGAAAGCAACAGAATGTTTAGCAGGTATAATATAACCAGAAAACATATAAATTATTGACAGTATGGCTAGTTTTCACCCACAAAAAAAAAAAGAATTGGCAAATGATGACAAGAAATACCATTAAAATGATTGCGATGACACCCTGATCTTCTGTCCTAACCTATTACCAGGCCAGGACAGCTGTATAGTGTTGGCCTTTGGCATTAAATCACCCATAACAAGAGATAAAGCAAGAAAGCACCAAGGTGTAATAATAGGGATCTTAATCCTTAACATCAATACCTTCCTGACACACAGAGTCAAAGAAGAACAGATTAAATGTCTTTCTCGGCATAAAATTTATCAAATTTACAATACACTGGCAAAAAAATTATCATTACCTGGTTCCTTTGGCAACAAACAACTTCTTGAATTTAAATAAAATTTCACAATCATCTCATCTATAACATTTAAGGCCAAAATTTAAAAATAATTCTTTAAAAGCTTACTGTTCCAGTAAGTGGTTGGGACTATATTTTCCCATCTTATAACTTGGCTCCATGATTGCACTGCCCAGCGTCACCAGTGATCAACACCGGCTACAGAATCACACACACACAATGAAATAAATCTCGGACACAGAAAACAGTTTTCAGAGAATCTCCCTGTATATCAGGAAGTGCTAGAGAGATGTTTACAGACACTGGCGGCCATCTTGTTTTTGTGACGCTCTTTCGTTATCAACAGGCTTTTACAATATGACAGGAATCGTCAGACCTTTAAATCGTCGACGTGGAGGAGAGATCGGGCTTGTTCCTTGATATTGACACAGCGGCTATATAACAGGGTGTAAACACCTGACCTGGTAATAATCATTTCAATTAGAAGAGCTGTGGATAAAGGGAAAAATCTATTGATCCACCTGTCCAATCTTTTAATCATTGATACAGACAACTGCTATATTAAGGCACATTGGTTGGAAAAGTCAATTCCACTTAGAGGCCTGCATTAATATTAAAGAAGCTTGTAATGTACCCAGACAATATTATGCAATTACACCTACTCTTTGCCAGAAATTACATTTTGCAATATATATATCTATAGTTCCAAAGTTCTTTGTAATCACAGTTGGAACAATAGATGTTGAAACCCACATGCTATATTTGATATGTACCCTAGTACATTTAAAATCCATATTGCCTCGGTGAACAAAAACATCCCCTCCCTTGTGGCATGTCATTTAATGGCCTGGAATAAATATTGCACTGAACTGTATCATATACATGTGTTTTCAAATTGTATATTTTAATGAATCACACCTATTTGGTAGAGGGTTTTGGTGAAGGAATCCCATGAGTATATTACTGTTGTGTGAGATACAATGATGTCTAGCAATCAATTAATTGCAATAATGGAAAACTGTGAACAGTCAACAAAACACCTCGTACCAGCTAGCTTAATATTAATATAAGGTATGGCTACCTTAAATCTTCCCACTGGAAATTCAGTTGTAATCACGAATCCATTTTGGAGTTCAATTAAGGTTGAAAGGATTTACTCAGTAGTGCTCAGAAAATTGCTACTGAAATACAAGATGAAAAATGAGGTTCAAGAAACTTGCAAATTCATAATTTACTTTTATGGCAAGAAGTCTTGGATTCCATTAATGAACCATTTGATGTGCAATTACAGGCTTTTATTAGTGTGATATTTTCCCAAGATACATCTTTGTGAAACAATGCAGTGACAGAATTCATTTTTGACCTTGACCTCAGAGTACATGTATGTACTGACCTTGACCTGACCTATAAACAAACATGATTGAGTCTATAAACAGTTCTACAGATATTATGACAAAAGGAAAGAGCTAGATTATCAAAGAGAATATCCATACTAACTCCATTAAAAATCAAGATATTGGACAAACAACAAATATGACATTATTTCTAAACATTATGAATTTCAGAAAATGAAGTAAAACCATGTTCTTTGCTCTTCCCTGATCAGTTTACAATCAATAAAACCAACTATAATATTACATCCTTTTAATATCAAACAAAGTTGAATTTTGGATTAAAAAAAAAAAAAAAAAAAAGGACAACCCAGGATCCCCATGCATGCAGGTACCTGACGAATCTGATCAATAAAGATGCCCATTAATTAACTCATGGTAATCACATTAATTCAGTACTCCACATGTGACCATTAGTAAGAGAATTAAATCAGAGCTGTCTGCGACTTTTCCTGTGCAAAGACTTCTCTCTATGAGCAATCAATAAAGATTTCCTAAGACTTTGTTGAACTGTCTTTCAGATTAATGAAGACATAATGATGAATTCAGAAGGGATCACCACTCAGTCTTTTCTTATTTACAGGAAAATAGTGACTTTTTAACCAAGTTCCATAGTGTAATGTCTCATTTATTTATTCTTAATTTATTATAATATGTTTTTTAATTAAATCTTGTTTCCAAACTTCTGAAAAAACTATGAACCTGCCATGTTTAGATCAATGCATTAAATTGTCATAATTTTTTTCTATAATTCATAGAAACTGAAGTCAATTTACTAAAAAAAAAAAGTTCTCAAATATGAAGTATAATTTACCTGAAAATATTGCAATATTCATTCAAATACCTGGTAAATTTTAATGCCAAACGTACATGCTTGAGAGAGTTTCACAAAGTGTTCAAATCATTGTAGAATTTAATCACAAAACATTTAAAAGTTCAATTAAATTTGTGAAAAGGATTGTGATGTGCAATTAATTCTAATTTTATGCATCTGCAACACAATCTACTTTTTCCATGAAAACTTGAGTTTAAATCCTGAAAATTGAAACATTTCTAAAGAGTATCTGCGTAGTGTCATTTCTTGACCATACATGTATATGTTAAAATTTCAAATCAATGCATTCATAAACCATGTAAACTAGAACAGCTGCATTTGAAATGATTTAAATAACTGTGGTTTCGTCTTAAAGTTCAGTCACAAATAATCACTTTATATAACAGTAAAGATCTTTATTTTAGCTTTAACACATATATATGAGTCATTTCAAAATGCAAGCACAGGTAATTGCCATAAAATCCAAACACTAAACAAATTGAGCATGTTTTCACAACTGCGAGTCAGGTACTAACTTGTGCATATTCATGTTATGTGATGCACATCCAGAATAGTAAAGTGAACAACTATAAAAGACAACTAGTACATCTACATTGTTTTTATAGTACTTATAATTTTGAACTTTTAAAATTTTACTAATCTATCTGATCCATCGATATGATTAGTTTCAACCTTTTTAATTTGTAACAATGGATTTGGATCAATGATCACAACATTTTAATATTAAGTCTGTATCCTATTTAAGTACATGTAAACTTAGTTGGTTCACAACTTAGACAAAAAGTTTATTACTTAACTTGTTCGTGTTTGCTAATATGTGTCTTTTAATCATGGTTTAATGGTGTTAATGATGAATACTTGAAGTGTTTGAAAACTTAAGTACTTCAAAGAGCATTTAAAAATCAATAAATGTACAAGAAATTTTATGTACATATAGAAAATACATGCAAAATTCATTCAGGGTAAAAATTTGATTTCAAGAACTTAATTTCCATTAGCAAATTTAAAGTAATTCTGAAATACATGTATACCTTACATGTAGCTAATTCATTATCAGACAAGTAACATTATATTCAATGAATTAACGTTAAACACCACAGTTTGACTATAAACATACAGAAATTACACAATGCATTCTAGTTGCCAGTTATCAATGTACATTCAAGGTTGCAAACTTCAGTACAGTGCAGCATTAGTGACATTGAGGGGATTTTGCTTTTTTTTAAAACTATCAAAAAATATTACAAGCTTTTCAATCAAAATTTCATGAACACTATTCACATGATCAAGTGAGAACATGAACTGCTAGAAAGAGTGTGCAAGAACACAGCAAACAGTTCACACATCAAGAAGTTCACACGACTGACAACAAGGTGCAACAACATTACGAAAATCTATTCATAAGTACTCACTCATTCTGTGGGACTCCGGCGTACATTTCGATTTGTCTGCGATGAAAATATCAAACAATGAATTTTTAATGCAAACAATTAGATTTCCTTAATTGTCTGTTGTGTCTTCAGAGGAAAATGATTTTCGCTGTTAAAACAGACTTGCGTAGTTACGATAAAAACAAAGGGTAGACTGATATAATATTTCAGAGATCAAGCATCACTTGAATCGGATTTGCAGCACGCACAAGTCTGTATCACCAGGATGTGCATATGCTGCAATGATAAAATCCAGTCGATTCCAAAAGGTCTTAATCCAAGAACTCACGAGAAATTTCTTAATCCACTCAAATATATTAATGCTCCGAAGAAAAATCAGTACTTGCACATTGCAAACATGAAATCTTGAAAGATAAAAGATTTGTAATGGAAAATAATATATCCCAAATGAAATTCATCAATTGATATGTAATGGACTCCACACTATTGCCCTTTTTAGATTAATGTTCTACTAAATGCTACAATGGGGCAAGCATTTCAGATCCGAATGTGTCACTAACTAATCTGGGATCAGAACACGTCTAATGTGGCTAATCCTTTGTTCAAACTGGGTTTATATGCTTAATATTTGTATATTAATTTCAATACCTTTGGGAACACGTTCACGTGATATACTTTTAATTAGGAGAACCACCCATTTAGAAGCATATAACAATATTTATTTTAAAAATATATCGAGTGAGTCTTGGAACATATAAAATGGGGGTATTTCAGGGCAGATTTGTATATCAAACATGCAAGGCTCAAATGGTGATCATGTGTAGTTTTTATTACAACCTTACACAATACACGAAATGATTTTAAAAGTTGTGGCTTATTCTTCTAGGGTAATGTTAGACACTAGCTTATACTCAGTGAATGAACAGAGTATTATGCATGCATCATCCCAAAAGGAAATCAAAGAAGGATAACTCTAGTATGGTATCTGCTTAGCAATTTACGAAAATGTAATATATCAATCAGTTTCCCATTGTAGGGCTATGTTAATTTTGCAGCACATTTTAATTATGTACAATGTATATTGCACTCCAGTATGTTTAACTTTCTATGTAAGGCCATCTTTAAAAAATGGTTCTTTGCCTTCTCCCGACCAACTATCTAAAAACGGCTAGGAGTGAAACGGTTCACCCCGTATCAATTCACCGCGGTATTTTTACTCGGTTTGATACACAGTGCAAAATCTCTAATTTTCGGTTCGGTTCATTTTTCGGTCGGGATCGTTATTCAGTCGGGTTTGGCATAAGGTAAAACAAGTTACTCAGTATAAATAAGTATAGAAAACGTAAATTTTTGATGACTGATAGTTTGTAAAATAATTTTTGACAGTCAAAAAATTTAATCAATTTCTTCTAGTCAATTTGCAAATAAAAATTCGTAAATTAAGTGACTAGATTTAGTAAAAGAAAGCATAAAACAAGGTTGAATTTGTTTCCTTCTATCAAAATGTATTGTATCGAGAATAACCGTACCGAGACAAAATTATACAATACATATCGAACCGAAGGAGGTGTATCATTTCACCCCT